TTAAATATGTCCTACAACTATTTTAAGTATGTCTTTAATACAACTATTACAACAAAAGGAAATCCCTCTTTCAACCAGCAGGTGCCTCTCCTCTCCTTAAGTGTCAACATTATACAAAATAAGATTGAAACATTCTTTAGGTGAACTTTCAACTCAGCTCTTTATAAATTAGATAGAAAATTACTCTGTAGTTTATCATATGTAACTTGAGAGCATAATGTTTGATGTGTGTTTCATGAAAAAAAATTAAAACCCCAATACTCATCCGTGAACCATTAATTTGTGTTATTTAAAAAAAATAAGATATAAAATTATTTATTGTCAGAAAAAAGAAACATTCAAACACACAAAGGAAATATTTCTGAAAGTTTTTCATCCAAAAATGGGAAAAAACCCTCCAAAGTGATAGCTGAGGTGTTAAAAAGTCATCTTAATGGACCTAAGATCTGAATGAAATAAGATTCATTTCCCATTAGAAATAAAATGAAATAAAAGGAGACTAAATATCCTCAAATCCATCTTCTCACTGTTTTGAGTTGAGTTTCTCTGACAGAACCAAATTCACATTTTCTATAGCCATGCTGGATGTACAGTTAATTGTCACAGATGGGTCAGGCTGCACACAACCTTTTGCAAAGCCCATTTCCTTTTAGAAAGATGAGTATCTTACAAACTTTTAAAGCTAGGAGCACATTATCCCCCCTCCCATGCATGTGTATGTGAGAGAGCGAGACCGAGAGTGTTATCAGCTCAAATCAATCTATGGCAGGATTAAATCCTGTTCACTGAAAGTTATAGGCTATGATTGCATTCAAACAGTAATGTATTTTTCATGCAATTTCCCCAGGATGGTAGCAGCAGCACATTCATTAACCACCAGCATTGCCTTAGCAAGAGATTCCAAGTGATCGTCAACTTGACAAGTTTATTAATATTATTATGTATTTATTACACTTACACTGCTGACACCTAAGGTCTGTTGACAGTGTACAGTGCTAAAATGACTATTCTTGATCCAATATGTGCATCTCTTAATGTTTTCACATAAGCAATGACATTAGAACTATTGTCATAGCTACTTATTCTATTGTGTTCATGACCCCACTAGAAACATATATTTTCTGTTGCACTGTAGTATTTCAAGCTTCATCAATTTCTTATTAGTTTGCTTTCTGTCTTTGCTTAGGAACTGGAGTATTGATTGACATTGGTTAAGGTAAATGAGAGCAAGAGTCTGTTCTAAGAAAAGAATATCTGCAAAGAATTGCCTTCTTTTACATGATATTTAGCTGACAGTACAGGGCCCTTTGGAATGAATAATGGAAGGTTACTAACAAGAAAGCAAGTAAAGGATTCAAAGTTTCAATCTCGAACTCTTTTGTAATCACTAAATGCTCCATAAGGAACCCAATAGTTACAAGGAAAAAACTGCTAATGAATTACATAGCTTAAGAATTATATGGTGCACTGAAATATTTTGTAACAATGTCACCATTAATAGCACTTCCAGAAAACCATGTTTAATAGTACCTCCAGAACATGGAGATGCCAGCATGTTCACACACCTAGATGTAAAATTTGACAAGAAGCAATTTCTACAATATGCAAGCCAAAATTTCATCTGGTTGTTACAATCTCTTCAAATAATTGTCTCCTCACTGCCTGTGCATCCATCAAGATCTAGTTGTTTGATTCCTAACCATATCTTAGTTGTGCCATGGAAACAAGAACAAGATAACATACGCAGATTCCAAAAAAACAGTACTGTCCAGAAATATTGTTAAAGCAGATAGAAGCTAAAAATTATGACGATGTTTTGGCATCCCTTACCTATTAATTTAACTTTTCACACCATTCCATGGGACTTCAATGAATGCAAGGATAATAATTTTCATCTGAGAGGCATGCTGATAGGGAGCGCTGTGGCCCCTAAAATATATTGGATCAAGGCCATTTTATTTGCATGATTCCTATCCTGCTGACCCATGAAATTGTATAGCATCTGCCACAAGCAGAACATCTGATATTCCCATTTATCTCACCCAGGGTTGCCAATGAAGGGTTGGAGATGAAGATTTCAAGACAGTCATAATAAGGAGCACGACTACCAGTTCAAACTGCTTTAAACTTCTGTGCTGAGTTTGACAACAGTGTCAAAGGATTTCTATCTCTGTTGCCATTAATCCAAATGAGAGACTGGAGGGGGGAGGGGAGAGAGAGAGAGAAGACTCAGTTCATCCTTGCCTTCTAATTTCTTTCATTTAAACAGTATTTGAAATAGTATGAATGACAAGTATTGGTTTATCAGGTTATTCACAGAAACATATGAAACACCATCATCACCGTCACCACCAAGCTTTTCCCTCTTCCTATTGTCAGCTGAGCAACTATTTCACTAGCTGCAAACAAACAAACAAACAAACAAATAATCAGCTGGATACCCCAGGTCCAGAGCCACACAGAAAAGGAGGGGTGTTTATTTTGTCCTTATCAACATTTAATTTTGGGCACCAGGGACCGGTTCCGTGGAAAGAGGTTTTTCCGCGGATTAGAGGGGGCCTGGTTTTGTGTGCTACCTGCATCCCGCGGATGGGGCTTTGCTTGTTTGTGAGGCCTGGTTGCTGGCATGCCACGGCCCGGTACTGGTCCACAGACCGGGGGTTGGGGACCCCTGCTCTAGACTATCTTGATGTTGCCATGATGAAAACCAGAAGTTTTGCCAATTAACCACTGGGAAATATCCAGGATACTGTTATATTTTCATAATTAAAATCTTGCAAGAGTAGATGTCTTGTAAGGTAAGTTAAAAAATTAAACTGTGTAAATGTATACATGTGTGTATGAATGAATGAATGAGACCTTAAGAATTAGATTGATATTTATACTACATTAGAAGACACCATCAAATAGAGCAGTGATTCTCAACCTTCCTAATGCCGCGATCCTTTAGTATAGTTCCTCATGTTGTGGTGACCCCCAACCCCCCATCCAGCTGGCCGGGGGGTATCAAAAATTTGACCCCAAAAAAAGGAAAAAATGGGAAAGTATAGGTAGTCCTCGACTTACAACAATTTGCTTAGTGACTGTTTGAAGTTACAACAGCACTGAAAAAGTGAATTATGATCATTTTTCACACTTATGATTGTTGCAGCATCCCCAGGGTCATGTGATTTACATTCCGATGCTTGACAACTGATTCATACTTATGACGTTCACAGTGTCCCAGGGTCACGTGATCAATGGCCAGGGGGTATGGCCAGCTGATCACTCAGGTTGCAGAGTGCCTGTGGGGGGGGGAATCTGTGGGTCTCTGGGATGGGACTGGGGTGGGTGCCTGCCTTCCTTCCCTCCCTTCTTTCCCCTTGTCCCTTTCTTCCTTCTTTTCTTCCTTTCCTTCACCTCCCTCTTAGTCTCTTCCTCCTTCCCTCCCTCTCCCATTGTCCCTTCCTTCCTTCTTTCCTTCCTTTTCTTCACCTCCCTTAGTCTCTTCCTCCTTCTCTTCCTCTTTCCCATTGTCCCTTCCTTCTTTCCTTCCTTTCCTTCCCCTCCCTCTTAGTTCCTTCCTTCCTTCCCTCCCTTCCATTGTTCCTTCCTTCCTTCCCTCTTTCATTGTCCCTTACTTCCCTCCCTCTTTGTCCCTTCCTTCCTCCCCCCCTCTGTGCCCAGGAAGGAACAAGGGGAGGGGGACAGGCTGCCAGAGGCAGAGGAGAGCTCCGCCCAGCTCACTTGCTCAGCTTCGCCAGAAAACAAGCCGCTTGCTAAGTTAGCAGAAGCCCCAGGATCAGCGCTGGGCTACAGCTGATTCGTGCTTCTGCTAAATTAGCAAGCGGCATCTTTTCTAGCAAAGCTCGAGCAAGTTTGCTGGGCAGGACCCAAGGAGAGTTGCTACAGCTGACTTGCTTCTTGGCTGCTCTGCAAAAGCGTGGATCAGCTGTAGAAGTTTGCCCCGATCCTGGACAAGAGGGAAGGATGGAAGGATGGAAGGGACAAGGGGAAAGAGGGAGGGAATGAGGGACAAAGAGGGAGGCAAAGGAAAGGAAGGAAGGAAGGGACAAGGGGAGGGAGGGAGGGAAGGAGGGACAAAGAGAGAGGCGAAGGAAAGGAAGGAAGGAAGGGACAATGGGAGAGGGAGGGAAGGAGGAAGAGACCAAGAGGGAGGGAAGGAAAGGAAGTTCCAGCCAGCAGAGGCTTGGCAGCCCGGCTGCAGAGGAACAGAAGAGCACAAAGCCAAGGAAAAGAAGGTGGCGGTTTCCTCCCAAAGGGGACTCCTTTTCTCCACTCCTTCCTTGGGTTTGTGGGGAATTTCTCGTCACCAATGCTGACAGGTGCTCCTTCGAGCCTGCCATGAGCTTTCTCGCCCCCTTTGATTCTCCCCCCTCCCCCACTTTCGTGAGGATTGTGGCGCCCTTGGGAAGCCGATCGTGCTTTGAAGCTTAAGAGAGGAGGAGGAGTCCCTTCCTCCTTCCCTCACTCTCTCCCTGTCAAGCCCCGGCGGGCTTGACATGAATGGGCGGAGGAGGAGTCGAGGACAGGTGGGGTGGCAAAGGAGACTGGCAGCCGTCGGCAGACCTCCCAGCTGACAAGCACAAGTTCAGGGGTCGCCAGCTGATGGGCGCAGGAATTGGGTGCTGCGGCGGCCTCCCCTTAGCTGACTTGCGTGCATGAGAAGAAGTCAATCCGGTTGCTGCACAATGAGTCTCTGGGGAGGGCGGGGCCTTGCTCTGTGCCTGCGCTCTTCATGAGCCTCCTGCAGGGCACATTTGGTAGAGTTCATGCAGACTGCCGCCAAGCAGCATATTTTCCACAAACAAGTGAGGTGGAGTGGAGGGGGGGGGAGAGAAAGAAGGTGGTTGACAAGCCCTGCCTAAGACCATCGGAAATATGTGCTTTCTGATGGTCTTAGGCAACCCCTGTGAAAGGCTCGTGCGACCCCCAAAAGGGTCGCAACCCACAGGTTGAGAACCGCTGAAATAGAGGAACTGTATGTCATATCCGGCATCTAAAATTTTTTGGATATATTTTACATCTTATAAAGCACTTTAATGTATTGCTATAGATCTGAAATAGATATCATTTCTTTAAAAATGCTTTGAAGTTAACATATTCATTATGCAGTTAGCACAAAAAGTCTAAATAATTGACATTCTTAAATGTTAATATAGTTATCTCACTATATCTAACATCTGCGATCCATCTTACAGAAAATATATTAGTCATTTCTTAAGCTTCTTTATTGAAACACATTTGTTATCATCTTTGAATTTTCTGCTGAAACATATTCCTTATTCGTTTTTTTAAGGTTAGAATTTTTCTTTGTCTACTGTATTTGCATATTTTTCTTGCTGCTGCATCATACTAAGGATAGATCTCTAATTTTTCTTTCTTTTTCAAATGTCTCTTAAATAAGCTGGGAAGAAAAATGGGGAACTGATTATTCATCCACTTATTTAAAAAAACATTTCTTTTTATTAATAAAGAGCAACTCTTAGAGCTACTCTAAGGAAAATATTTTTCTTTTTGACATGCCCATAAATTTTTGTTATATTTCTTGCTTACATTATTTATTGTTGGTTGCCATACACTAAATAAATAAATAACATTGTTGGTTTAATACATATAGGCGTATCACAGGATATCATCATGTCACCTTTGAAAAGTTATTATCCTAAAATGTGCCTATTGAAGTGGTAACATGTTATTTTTCTCACTATGCTTTTTTTAATGCTGGAATTGAGAACAATTTAGTGTGACTGTTGACGTTAATAGGATCTTGCTTTGGCTTTTTGTAAAGTTGGGAAGGTTTTGTATAGCTTCCTTACAGGCAATTGTTCAATAACAACAAAAATCATGCATGAATTCAAAAACAAAAAAGAACAGCATTAATTTAGCAATTTTACAGCAATCTGGTGGTTCAAAAATAAATCTCAATCCTAGATAGTGTTTGGCCCCCAGATGAACACACACTGAATCACAGCCTTACAAATCCTGTAGTTATTTTTCTGAGACTGGATCCCATTGGCCAATGGCCATGCTCCTGGTGCTGACTGAAGATGGAATCTGTCCAGTCTGGGCGATTGTACATGCCCCAGTGGCTGTTTGAATGCAAATAAACATCTCCCCCCCACACACACAAAGGTACAATTTCATAACCAATACTAAGTTTCTTTCGCTTTACAATAATGCTTTGAATGAAGGCAAAATAGGTGTCCCAGGATAATGATGTAAGATCCAATCTGGGTCAGTCACTGGAACCAGAGGTTTAGTCTTCTGAGCTTTTGGACTCGTGCTGGAGCCCATCCTCAGACAGACTAAACCTCTGGTCCTGGTGACCAACCCAGATTGGATCCTACAATAATACTTCAGTTAAGCAAATGGACATAGAACTCTACTTCCCTGGCAAATCCTTCTCCAAATCCAATCTTCTTACAAAAGCTACTTTTACAAAGCATCGTCATGTTCTTCTGCTTCTTCATGTGACTGGCTGGCAGAAGGATTAGTATCAAGGAACTGTACTCTTCTCGCACTGATATTTATGTCGCTGTCTCCTCTGCCACTGTCTGTATCATCATGGTAGTCACCCTCCTCAGCAGCACTGTCGCTCTCACTCCCAAACCTGTTCTGTTCTAGGTCACTGTCCTCTTCAATCATCATGTCATCCTCCTTAGCTTCTGTAATGTCATCTTTAAACCACACTGCCTTGTAGCCATCATCTTCCATTTTCCTGTCTTTTGTAAGGATGGATTTCACTTCCTTTTCACTGTTTATTTCTTCCTCTTGCGTTGTTTCACGAGCTGACTGTGTTTCCTTGTTGGGTGGCTCCTTCTTAGACATAATGCTTGCTGGTGATTCATCATCTTTTCCATCTGAGTTAGATTTCTGGTCATCCTGGAAGTTGGTATTAGAAAAGCCTTCCATAAGCTGCAAAAGAGAGACAAATGTCTGTACAATACTGGAAAGGCAACGGGAAACTGAAGATCAGATAAGACAACTAATCGCCTTAGAAATTACTTTATTACATCTGCTCCCTTCATAGTTAGACAGCTGGGTTATTTCTGAGGTAAGGCAATTGCCAGTATCCTTTTCTCTTTCAAGATATATTGGAAGCACACCCTCTGCAATTCCCAGCTAATTTTTTCATTAGCAATACTGTTTTACCATAATTACAATTTTGCAAATTGAAGACAACCTAAACGTTCTTATAAATTCCACAGCATTGTATTTATTTATTTTAAAAAAAAACACTTTTTAAAATAGAGGAAGAAGCCCAACTTACTTGTAGATTCTCTTTTTCAAGTTCTTTTTTTAATTTGTAATACTTGTAGGAGATCAGTGCAAGCAAGGCTAGTGCAATTGCTAATAAGGTCCCCAGTGTGACTCCCAGAGCAGCCATATCTCCTACATTATAGAGACCTGTCAAGAAAACAAACAGACCTCATTATATCTCCAAGCATCTCACCCAGTTATTTCACAACAGCTAAAAAGGAATCCTTTGACTTTGAAGGAGCAGGGTGGACAGAGCATTGACACTTTTATATGTTGGTATGGCAGAGGCCTCCTGGGAATGCCCTGGAGAGCCTAGATAACAAACTAAGGGTCATCAAGCAAATCAACCCAGAGTTCTCACTCAGGGCAGAAGTGACCAGCTCAAATTACTCTATTTCAGACACATTGTATGAAGGCTGAGTCCTCTGGGGAAAGTTCTAATGCCAGGAAAGGTGGAAGGAAAGAGAAGAGGATGATCAACAATAAGGTGAATGGACTCCATTACAGTGGTGGTGGTTGCACCATTAGAAGATCTGAAGGAGCAGATTAGGGACAGAACGTCATGGAGAAAACCTATGTGGTCAACACTAATTTGATGGCACGTATTGGGAGTCCTTGACTTACAACAGTTCATTTAGTCACCATTTAAAGTTACAACAGCACTGAAAAAGTGTCTTATGACTGTTTTTCACAGTTACAACCATTGCAGTAACCCCAGAATCAAGTGATCAAAATTGGGATGCTTGGCAACTGACTCATATTTATGACAATTGCAGTGTCCTGGGATCACCTTTTGTGACCTTCCGACAAGCAAAGTCAATGAGGAAGCCAGATTCACTTAACAACCAGGTTACTAACTTATCAGCTGCAGTGATTCACTTAACAACTGTGGCACAAAAGTTCGTTAAATGAGACAAAATTCACTTAACAAATGTTTCACTTAGCAATGAAAATTTTGGGTTCAGTTGTGGTTGCAATTCAAGGATGACCTGTAATCAGTGAAAGGTGAATCTCAGTGGAGCCATTGACCCCTTGATTTGATAGAATTTCCTGTTCTCCTTAAATTTCAGCATGACAAATTAAAAGAATAAATTGAGTGACATTTTTCCTGGCAAGGAGATAAAACTATATGGAAAAATACATATACTTAATTTCTCTGTCAGGATACTGTTGAAGACGTTATAGAAAATGGACAAATGAAGATTTATTTTGGACTCCTATGGTCATTTTTTCTCAGTATAATAAACCTAAAAGCCTTTGCATTAAGGTAGCTTTCCACAACCATTACGATTCCCCATTAGCATAGCCAATAGTTATGCTGTCAAGCGATTTTGAAAGCTAAAATATTAACACCCCTTAAGAGCCCTGTTTTGAGAGGCTGAATGAAGACGCTGAATGCTGAACGTGTCAGCACCAAATGGCCGTCCTCCAGGTTTTCATCTGGCTGGGAGCAAAGGTCAGTGCTGTTTTCTAGAGAGATTTGTACTTTCCCATATCACAGCTCATATCTCTGCACTATAATTACAAAGCAATTTTCCTGAAAGTTTTATGGTATTAATAACAATATGACTATAATACCTTGCAAAGTGAACTCCGAAATAAGTGCAAGTTTCAATTACTCCTAAGAGTTTATCATTAACACGAGCTGAAATAATTAGTTCATAGATTCATTCCAGAAATAACATCAGTACCCTCATATCATAAAATGATTCTCTGCTGCAGAGGTATTAGCAACAAATAGCAGCTCTGCTGTTTTCTCAATTGGGTTAAAAATGTGATATATTGGATTAATTATTACATTGACTTGCTTTCCGAAGTACAGCCCGTCCCTTGACCACAGCCAAGCCCAACATTTTTGTTGCTAAGCAAGACAGTTATTAAATGAGTTTTGCCCTGCCATAGTAGCTAAGTGAATCACTGCAATTGTTAATAACATGGTGGTTAAGTGAATCTGGCTTCCCCATGAACTTTGCTTGTCAGAAGGTCGCAAAAGGTGATTGCATGATTTCCACCACCCCCCCCCCCAGGACATTACAACTGTCATAAATACAATTCAGTTGCCAAGCATCTGAACTTTTGATCACATGACCATGGGGATGCTGCAATGCTTGTAAGTTTGAAAAACAATCATAAGTCATTTTTTTCAGTGTCGTTGTAACTTCCAACAGTCACTAAATGAACTGTTTTAAGTCGAGGACTACCTGTATTGTACAGGAGCTGAAATCTCCTAATAAATCAGCTAAGGAACAGGAATATAGAAAGAACTGGGTGGATTGCATTTTTTTTTCAGCAGACTAATATGATCCATTTTGGCTGTCACTAATCTCCTCTCTGGCTATCTGCCTCTCTCCCCTTGGTGGTGCGCCATGTGCCATTTCTTAGCCCCACCATGCCACTGGATAGGTTGACAGCCCCTCACCTCCTTTTCTCTTTGCAATCTTTGTTATCCTAAATGATGTAGCTGAAGATTATATATGATCACTATGACTCTGGTTCTGTTAGCGTGCCAATCATTAAAAATTCTGTCCGCTGTACTACTCGCGTTACTAAGACAATATCCTAGTTTTTCCTATATTTTTACTCCATACTGTATAATAAAAAAGTACCTATCTGTGTATAATTACAACACCTTAAAAGATACAAAGGTTTTGCATGAATGAACCCTTTCATTTATGTTACCCAAGAACCATTTTAATGTTTTAATGCTCATAGTGATTTTGTGCCTTTGTCACATTTAACATTTCCCTAATGCGAGCTTTCTGCAAATTTGAAAGCATGCTAACATTGCTTGCTTGCAATTTCCAGTAAACTTGTATGAATGTATTCATATGTGGATGATTATATATTATGAGCTAGGTCTTTTGATCCATAAAAGCCCTAGCTTTTATAGATTATCTATAAGTCTTATGGAAAGATAGGCTACAAGGATATATTTATCCTTACCCTGTTGTAATAGAAATAAACTTCATTAAAAAGAATGGCATTTCAGGAAGGAATGATTAGAACTATATATATGGCAAAATGATTGAGAAGAAATCAACATCTTCAACATCTTCATCAACATCTTCAACATCTTCATCAATGATTTGGATGAAGGGATAGATGGGGAACTCATTCAATTTGCAGACGACACCAAGCTGGCAGGAATAGCCAACACTCCAGAAGACAGGCTTAAGATACAGAAGGATCTGGACAGACTTGAACACTGGGCACTAACTAACAAAATGAAATTCAATGGTGAAAAAAGCAAGGTTCTACATTTAGGCAAGAAAAACCAAATGCACAAGTACAGCATAGGTGGCACCATGCTCAATAGTAGTAACTGTGAGAGGGACCTCGGAGTCCTAGTAGACAATCACCTAAATATGAGCCAGCAGTGTGCTGCAGCTGCCAAAAAGGCCAACACAGTGCTAGGCTGCATTAACAGAGGGATAGAATCAAGATCACGTGAAGTATTAATACCACTCTTCAATGCCTTGGTAAGGCCACACTTGGAATACTGCATCCAGTTTTGGTCACCACGATGTAAAAAAGATGTTGAGACTCTAGAAAGAGTACAGAGAAGAGCAACAAAGATGATTAGGGGACTGGAGGCTAAAACATATAAGGAACGGTTGCTAGAATTGGGTATGTCTAGTTTAACGAAGAGAAGGACAAGGGGGGACATGATAGCAGTATTCCAATATCTCAGGGGCTGCCATAAAGAAGAGGGAATCAAGCTATTTTCCAAAGCACCTGAAGGCAGGACAAGAAGCAATGGGTGGAAACTAATCAAGGAGAGAAGCAACCTAGAACTATGGAGAAACTTCCTGACAGTGAGAACAATTAATCAGTGGAACAAGCTGCCTCCAGAAGCAGTAAATGCTCCAACACTGGAAGTTTTTAAGAAGAGACTGGACAGCCATTTGTCCGAAATGGGGTAGGGTTTCCTGCCTGAACAGGGGGTTGGACTAGATGACCTCCAAGGTCCCTTCCAACTTTACTACTACTATTATTATTATTAAATGTTTCAGAAATTGTTAGTGAAGCTCTTCTTTAAAGCATTTTGATTTCTTAAAAGCAGACTCACTAAAGCAACTGTTTCTTTGATGCAGACCACTAAATTGGCTTCATATTTCTTCATCTGCTATTACAAGTGATTCCACTGCTTGTTGGATTATCCCTATTACAGGAGATAATTACAGTTGGTTTATCCCTATTATAGTGGCCAGAAATAGAAGCACTACCTTTGATGATAGGAGGCTTTAGTGTTGATACTAAAGGTGGCAAAACAGCCACTAAAGGTGGCATAACAGCCACTAAAACAGCTCTATTTCTTTTCAGAAAGAATTATATTAAGGAAACATTTCAATAACATTCCTACATGTTTTTAAGCACTTCTTTGAATAATTTTCAAAGCATGCACACCTGTAATAATGATTAGCCATAAATTCCACTGAACTCAATCAACTTTCTGGATTTAGAACTTCTATGAGTGAAATTGCTGTACAGTATTACCAAGATCTAGTCTGTTAATTTTGGAAATCCGTCAACTGGTAATGCTGGAATTACCTTGTACTGTATGGCCAACCATGCAATCTGTTAAGCTTTGCAATTCATCAGTGATTAGGAGAGTGATCTGATCTGATAGTGAACTGTGGCTTGCCAAGTCTGAAAATTTTTCAATCTCTTATTAAGATAGGGAGCTTTTAAATCTCTACAGTCAAGCCTTTCATATAGCAATTTACATTAAACATTGATTTTATCTAAAACAAAGCATAGTCTTACAGAAGAATGTATGGCAAAAAATCATGAGCTTAAGAGTATTACTTTCTAAGCTGAAATCATATTTCCTGAGAAAGCATGAACTCTCACCACTAAAGAATTATACCAGATTTTGGTCTTTCCTTCCTTCCTTCCTTCCTTCCTTCCTTCCTTCCTTCCTTCCTTCCTTCCTTCCTTCCTTCCTTCCTTCCTTCCTTCCTTCCCCCCCCCTCTCTCTGTCTCTGTCTGTCTCTCTTTCTTTCTTTCTCTGTCTCTGTCTCTGTCTCTCTCTTTCTTTCTTTCCATTCATCTATCCATCTTCTATCTATTGGCAATAATTATTATATATTATGATGGGAACAAGCCTAAACCCTCTCTCATCCTGCAGCACATCTATACCTTATAAAAGAGTTAGGAAAATTTTGCTTTGAACAAATGGGGCTCCTTCTTCACCAAACAACTCAAAGAAGCTGGCTTCATTCAACATTAAAAAAGGTAAAGTTTTCCCCTGTCCAGCTTATCCAAAGACATTTCCATCATCATGTGGCCAGCATGGCTATATGCCAAAGGCGCATGGAATATGGTTACTTTCCAACCAAAGTGGTACTTATTTATCTACTTGCATTTGCATGCTTTCAAACTGCTAGATTGGCATTCAACATTATATCACTGTAATCACAATTTATACAGGTATACTATATGCAAGTTGCAATGACCACAGACAGTTTTCTACATCTCTTGGCTGCCATCTAATGATTGTGGGATATTTTTAGCCTAAATATAATATGTGTAGTTTAAGACATACAGTACTTCTATTTTCGTCTTATGAACTGAGGAGAAAGTGAAGAGTGTTCTTATTCCTATACGCATGATTTAACATAACCCATGAATGCAAACTTAGTAACATAGACTCTACCTTCTGAATTAGTTGTAGAAGTCACTGGAGAACTGCCAGATGAAGTTGTTATATATTCAATACTAGGCTTTTTAGAAGACACAAAAGCTGAAGTTGAAATACTAGGAGTTGATGTACTAGACTTAGATGGAAGGCTTGTTGCAGAGGTATTTGCTACAGAAGGTGTGCTTGTTGTGGAAGGCTTAATGATTCCAGGGACAGATGTAGATTGTCTACCATCATCTGGTGCTGGGCGTGCACTTGTAATGGGAGACTTGGTGGTTCCAATTTTGGAAGAAGTTGATGACTGGACAGCCCCACCACTTGTTACAAAATTACCTGATGTGGAAGGCTTGGGGGGTCCAGACTGAGGAAGTGCTTGAGTGGTGGTGGGACTTGAGGTCTTGATGGATTCCACTGTTCGTTGGCTTCTCTCTGTTACAGGAGAAGTAGTGGTCAGAAACTGTGTAGAATTACCTGGGATGACAGGAGGTTTTAGTGTAGTTACAAAAGGTGGAATAACTGAGCCAGGTACAGAAACAGTCACAGGACTTCTTGTAATCTCTGTAAGGTTATCCTTCCCAGTTGTACTTGAAAAAGGTGACATGGACTTTGTAGATCCAGAAGGTTTAGAATTACTTATCCCAGTTGGTAAAGCTGATGGTTTTTGACTAGTGTTCCCTTTCTCTGGGCTGGTGGGATAGGTTTCAGTGGAGGTAGTGGTAGTTACAGGTGGAACAGCTGGAGCTGTAAATGTAATAGGCAAAGGGACTGTTTAATGTGATGCCTCTGTATCTAAGAGTCAAACCCTTTATACTTTCAAGGCATCAAGACCTAAGCATGGCAATCATTATGAAGAAATAATAACACTGAAAGAATTTTACTATGGAAGAAGCTACACAGACCCTACATAAACTGAATCATGTCAGTAGAATTTTTATCCCAGGTTGTACAACAATATTCCAAGAAAAAAGAGGGAATTGATTTAGTCCAAGGGCTGGATTGTTCTCTCACAAACCACCAATGAATTGGGTAAAATTAGAAGCCGGTCTCTCTCTAATTCCCCCACCACATTTCTATATTAGAGTATCTTTGAGAAATAATCATGCCTGGCCCCTCCTTATAGAAAAAAGAATTTTTCTTAACCCTTGGGAATGCTCTGCCTCTGAGCGCAGGGATGGGGGGGGTGATAATTCTTCAAGCCTGTCCAAGCACTGAAATCTTTGTCAAGGAAGCATGGCAGATCCATGGCAAAAATTATAGTAGGAGTAGCGTGAAAATATTGCTTTGAAATGGGAACAGCTGGATGCTGCCTCAACGGTAGTCAGTCATAGCACATAAACTATAGAGCAAGGCTGTGCTGAAGTCAGAGGGATGGACCTTTTGTTTAATGTGCTTCAGCAATCCCTGTGTTTCCTACATCTCTACATTTCATCTGCATCATATAAGAAATGAAGAGAGCATTCCCAACATACTTGCCAAAGGTGTGACATCTATTGAGATCAATGTGCTTGCTTCTTCCAGAGTACTGATGTCGGTAGCAATGGCCTGTGCAAACAGGAAAGGAGGTGTTAGCCTTTCACACATGTGCTAATTCTATCATTCCATTAAAAAAGGCAACATATTAATTTGAGTCTAGTTACATCCAGCAGAGATGGTGGTAGCACTGCTGCCCCCCCCCCCCACTTCATATGCAAGATCTGGGCATAACAAAGGAGACTTGCTGAAAGCATGTTTATGAATATGGAGGCCAATACTTCTCTTGTTTATCTCTGTTTTGCACACCCTATGCAGTGATGTGATTCTGCTGTATGGAGTGGGAATATAACATTCATTTCATGATTCAATCTACTGAGAAGATAGATATTTAAAACCAAAGGTGGTTCAACAAAAGTTGAAAAAATAATATTTCTGGTGGTTTTTTTTTTACAATGACATATTTTTTACAATAGCATATGAACTTATTAGAGCAATGCAAAGATTTAATTTGAAGCCTCAGTCTGAACACAAACCAAGTGTTGCTCCTTTCAAATTAGTTCAGAAAACTGAACTGATATGACTGAAGTGTCAGATCAAATCAAATGGATTTCTGAATTGTCAAATTGAATTAGAACTGATCCACATTTCCTTCTTATTTTCTATAAATCCAAAACAGCTAAAATGAAACTTGATCTTATTCTGTAGAATAAAAAAAGAATCTTCACTGCGGTTTTTGCCAGTGTTGTTTAATTGTTCTGAGAAATATATCTGTTAAAAGTATTTTTGTTTGCTCTGTTTTGTTTTAACTGACTATCTAACACTTTTAAATCCTTACTGAATTCTTTAGTGTTTTTAAATCCATAATATAGGGATTTCAGCCTTTTAAAAAACTTTTTAACAGCAAATGATTAACCTTGGAGTAAAAAACTCAATGATAGAAGAATGTCAGACATTAATATTTTCCTGCAGAGTCCTTGTTATTTTAAACATTTGCTCATATCTGCATACAATATAATCATATTACTTACCCATAATGTAGTTTAATTTCACTCAGAAAATCTACATTAAACAATGTTAGATCATTAGATTGTTGAAAAATAATTAAAACTACCTGGTGTATAAATTGCACTACACTTTAAAGTGGTTTCTTTGGTTTTGATTTAGGGCATTGTATTAACGCCTGTCAAATTATTTTCTTCTGTCAAGTTATAGTCTTTTATCTATTTTAAATCAATTATTTTGAAGTGACAGATGATAATGAGAGAAGCAGTAAAGACAACAGTGTCATCTGGAAGCCTCAACAGAAATGTACAATAATTTTAGGAAGAATAACTTACCAGAAGGGTAATATGAGATGATCCATTCAGAACCTCAGTGGTTTGGATAAATCCTTCTGCAGTAACTCTGAAATCTGAACTGTTTTGTATTCGGTATTTGATATCTGGATTGATTTTCTAAAAGCAGTGAATAAAAATCTACATCAGACTCTCACCAAACAAATGGTTTCACTAAGTAAATTCTGTTCTGAGAATTGATTATGTAGTGAGCATCCTAAGTAACGTCCTAGATCAGGGGTAGGCAACCTTGGCTCTTTTATGACTCCTGGACTTCAACTCCCAGAATTCCTGAGCCAGCCATGCTGGCTCAGGAATTCTGGGAGTTGAAGTCCAGGAGTCATAAAAGAGCCAAGGTTGCCTACCCCTGTCCTAGATATTATCTGCATTACTTATCTGACTTTCCTGCAACTTGGTTTCCCTAGAAATACAGAAGTTTTGTTTTCATAATCCCCCAAACAGCATTCCCCAGCTTGATTTAGAGAACGGCCATCTTTTTGATCATCTGAGAGCAATTCCATCCTGTTTCACAAAAGACCCTTCCAGTGGAACTATGATTGGGAATACTTGCCCCTATGACCTCATCAGTATAGTGGAATTTGCTTGAGAAGCTGAGCGGATTAACAATTAGCTCAGATCCTGCTCCAGAGCATGTACTGCTGAAGATTGGCATTGTAGGAATGTCTGCTTTGTCCTACCCTTTGGCTCCTGAAATTTTTCCTTCTCTCTTGAAAGGGGCCATAGTGCTTTTTCACCATCTCTCTCTTCTTGAGGTACATTTGGTGGAGCAACATACGTGTTCCCCTTGTTCAGTTACCAAGGTTAATTTTCTCTCTCATCCATCATAAAGCAAAAAGAGTGAAAAAATAGCGAGGCTGACCACTGCTGCCATTTTTTTCTGTGCCCACGTTTCTGACAGGGATGTCCTTCTTATCCTCTCTCTTTTTCATCTTCCTAAGTGACAAATTCAAAAGTCAGCACAAAGTGCTGCAGAATAAAAATGCATCACTGGAAGGGATTTGAAAATAGGTACAACACTCTACCCTGATATAGGTTTCTCACATCAATCTCACACAGAATCTGACTTCATAATTGCTATCTTAGCATCCTTTGCTCCCTGTGATGTTCAACAGATCCTGAAACAACTAACATCTGGCAAGAAGTCATCATCTGCTGCAAAGATCTGCAGGGGTTCTGACGGTGTGTTGGCTTTCATGATCAATGTCTTTGCAGGCTGGTCCACAGATGCTCTTCCCAGGTAAATGGCTTCCTCAAAGTAGGGCTGATTAACATTTTTCCGTACAACATCAATTTTCACTGTGGTCTGAGAATATCTGAATGGATTGTTTTCTTGGGAAGCCTGGAGAAAGAGAGAGAGGAGGGAGCAGGTACAGATCTATTCTTAAGGGCTGAAATGTAAAATTTTAAAGGAAGGTAGACGAGGAGGTTCTCTGGAATGAGTGGGTGAAAGTTGTATATCAAAAGGATCCTCCCAAGGATGAAGAGATAGAAAAATTAATCCTGACAGTTAGAACAATTAACCAGTGGAACAACTTGTTTCCAGAAGTTATGAATGCTCCAACACTGGAAGATTTTAAGAAGAGATTGGACAGCCATTTGTCTGAAATGGTATATGGTTTCCTGCCTGAGCAGGGGGTTGGACTAGAAGACTTCCAAGGTCCCTTCCAATTCTATTCTATTCTATTCTATTCTATTCTATTCTATTCTATTCTATTCTATTGATGTGGAAAAGTACAGCAGGAGGGATTGTGAGGAAGGACTTAGGGACCCCCACTTCAGAGAGCCAGAGAAGCCCACCCACCACATCCCATACATCAAAACTCTTCATAATAACAACAACAACAATAATAGTAATAATAATAATAATATGGTAATTAGTCCATTATAAAAACTATTAGAGATATCAGAGTAGGTTTTGGCCTTAACTAGATCATCCTTAATTTGTTTTATTGTGTGTTATAGCAGAATATGGCAAGAACTCAGAGCTGACAAGATCTTCCCAGCAGTTTCAGGAAACAGCAAGTTCTAAATTTTATTTCTCTTGGATCTAATTAATAAGCATAGCATCTATTTCTCACTGCCTAGCTTAGCCTTGCCCAATCAAGTGCCCTCTAGATGTGTAGAATTTTAACTCTATCAGTTCCTAACCAACACAACCTGTGGCACCAGATTCGGAATTCTGGCCTTCCTAATTATGTCCTCCTGGCAAACATATATTCAAGAGTCACATTTTATTAACAACATACTAAAGTTATTAGGAGACTTACCAAAATATACAACATGAATGTCTTCAGAGTGTTTGCAGGCTGGGTCATGGTGATGTTTCCAGTAATTGTGTTTATTAAGAATGTGTCATTATCGTTTCCTAAGCATAATTGGAAAAAGGAAATACTTGGCATGCATGATTACTACCCAAAGAGTAGAATGAAACTTCCTAACTATGTCATGCACAAGATTGCGATATTGTATATTATATGTTGTTGTTGTTAATTGCGAAGTCGACCCATCGCGACCCCATGGACAACGTTCCTCCAGGTCTTCCTGTCCTCTACCATCTTCTAACCCCCTTGTTAACACTAAATCCAATGCAGTTCCAATACAGGCAAAGTGTCCCGGTTTTTCATGTTAGAGTTTTATATTTTATTTGATAGGTATTTCAGTCTTATCTTTATTGTAAGATACCCAAAGAATCTAATATTATAGAATGGCCAATTATTTACTCCTTCAGAGACTTTTCTCAAAGACTATCTTACTTCTACTGGATCCTGGCTTGGAAAAATATGTGACCATGCAAGGATATTTTTTTTAATAGGACCAGCAATTTTTTTCTTCGTAAATGATTGGGGCAGCCTTGTTAAAAAAATGAGATGATTCAGAAACTATCACATCAATGGCTGCATTTAGCGGCAAGTAACTCTACTGTTACTTACCCCCAATTGCAGGCATTCCGTCATCTGTGCCTAAGGTAGGACTTGAACTCACCAGTTGCCACTTTCTAGCCTGGTGCCTTCAGTCATTTGGTTAATAAAGTTCAACAGCCTGATTTGGGGGCATTTAGAGGAGGGGATTTAAGAGTTTTTACAGGGATAGTCTGACTCCAAGAAGTTGGATTACAAATCTTTCCCTATTTTATACTTGAGAAACTCCATATAGCTTAGCTGTATGGGGAATAGCTGTGGAATATAGGTAGAAATGTGGCACTATTATTAAATAATTTCTTCATTGTCCCTGAATCTGGATTACACCTGAAAATATCAAGCCTAGTAAATCAGTACGTGATATAATTGCTTTAAAGGGGTTTTTAATCTACTTACCAGCAGCAATTTCATATATTATTTTCTCATTCAAACTTTTATCTCCGTCAATAGCATAGAGGGGTCCTGGCTCGAAGGTCAGTGGCTCACTCTGCAATGGCAATAAAGGTCAATCCTTTCCTGACGCTTCCAATGATCTGTTCATTTTCTTTATTTATTTATCAAAGTTAGTCCTTGCCCCTCTCCTCGTAGACGGTATACACGTAAAATATTAAAACATCAAAACTGTATATAAAAGTTATAAAAGAGGGACAGATGATTAAAAGCCAATGTTAAAAATTAATTAAAAGGCAGAGGGAGAGACTTTAAGGTGCTAACCAGCCCCACAGCTGTGTGCTCCTCTGTGAGCCCCAAGCAAGAGGGCAGAGCCAGGTCTCCAGAAAGGCCAGGAGATTTGGGGGGTGGGATGCCTTGCCTTTGGAGGGAGATACACTCCCTGCCTGATCAGGACTCTATGTTGGGCCTCTGTTCTTTCATGTCAACTTTCTCTGCCACCTCACAGTCCATTCATCTCTGTTCTCTATCTTGTCAAAGGGGCACCATCAGATATGTGCCCTGCCCTGAACTTGTTGGTTTGAATACTATAGCAAACCTCAGTGCAGTTATGAGCACACAAGAAAAAAAATCATCTTGGCCTCCTGATGCACTAATCCAGAGAGAAGGAGAACAACAACAACAAAGTTAATCAAATCTCATATGATTGAATTATAAATGATGGAAACATTCTCTGTTCATAAAGTTTAACTACAGCAAATACTTCTCTTATTAAAGGTAGTACATATCTTTCTGGTTGTTGCCCTCTTTGGACTCTGTGTTCAACCAAGCAGGCTGAGAAACTGTATCCAAGACATGGCATTGCTATAACTTGAATCCTTGGAGGCTTAATGAAAAGAGCAACACAAGCCCAAACAAACAAACAAAAATTAAACAAGATCACTTTGGGTAGGGGCCAAATCTAAGGATCTTATTAACATACCACTATTTCCGAAAGATTGACTTTGCTATTGTAGCCAAGACTGATACACACTCTGCGGCCTCCAATGGCAGTACATGGCTGAAACCAGGGAGGTCTGAGATCAGACTGTACAATCCGTATGGATATTGTGGCTGTGGCAGTGTGTGTCCCTGCTGCACCAGCATTTCCATCCTATGCAACAGAAAAATAAAGGAGAACAAATTGAAGAAGATTCATCAGCTAAAAAGTATCTTGAAGTATTAGATCAATCCCTTCTACTGATAGTACATTTGCAAAAGCCAGCAGGATAGATGATGATCCAAGAAATGGGACTGTTTATACACCCTATTCTGTAAAAGCCAACATTAAATGACGAAGAGCCTCATGTGGTCCATGTAGATTCTGCAATAATCATCTTTCAAGGGGAAATTTTTTTCTGTTTCAAGACACTTAAGCTAAACTTCTCAGAACTGGCAGATGTCACGATTGGCAGTTTCAGCTTCATTTGTGAAAACAGAAGGAAAATTAAGCAGATGACAGAACATGCAAATATTTTGTTTGTAATAAAACTCACCATGGCCCTTAGAGTAAACTCCATAAAATTCATTGCTTCATAATCCAGGACTTTACGCAAGAAAATTTGTGGGTTGTTAATTCCTTGTATATTGAAATAGTTCATTGCTTCCTATCAGTTAACAAAAAAGAGAATGCCAATTTTAATTACAGATGTAGGGAAATAATACATACAATTCTAAGCTAAGTATATGTTTGTCATCTTATTTCCAACCGTGTGAAAAGTGAATCATGGAGATTCTATCCTGTTTTTCTTCCCTTCTACAGAATAAATATAATTGTCCATATATTGATGGATTCTTTTAATCTTTTTTTATGACAGTTTCCATTTCTTCTGCTGAGAGATATCATTAATTATACTGATTAGCAGAACAGTACAGGGCAGCAAATACATTGGAGGGACAAACTCTGTCAATGTAAATTCCTTTTTCAGCTGGGCTTTTCTTAATTTATCAGGGGAAAATAACCTACTCTCTTCAAAAAAAACTTATTTCACGGCTGAATGCTCATATTGACACATTCCATGATTTATCTAACATGACACATTCCATGATTTATCTGACCTTTATGTAGATTAAACCTGTTTTCAGTTGAGAAATGCTTCTTTTTTACTTCCACTTCGTGGAGAAAAGAAACATGCAAGTGTGGTACTTTCTATCTGATATGGAATTACTAAGCTGTTTGGCATGAGACAGATTTTCAGGACTGATCCCTCACTTCTCCAGTCTAGGCAGAAAAAGATGCAGTCTTCTGACAAGAGAGAAACCGTGTGTGTCCTGCTTTGGAAAATTGCTTGTCAGGAAGAAGTTTAGCCCTTGATCTATTTGAATTTATATTCTACATCTCAAGAGTTCAGTTGAACTATATACTAACTGGTGGACTCCCTTCAAGGCTGTAGAACAATGTATTAAGGTCAGCATCAGTAGCAGTTACATTTGCCAGAGGTACGACAATTGTGTTCGGTTTTGTATCCTGGAAAGAGAAAATGTATATTTAGAGTTCTATTGGATTGATCCACAGAAATACACATACATACATACAATGTTCTCTAAACACCAAGGACTTCCAAATCCAGAAAAATGAAAAAGAGTAACGAATTCAGGATAAAATTAGACCTGATCTTAATTTCATTAATACAATTCACGTGAAGTAAAAAATACCCAGGAAGTGGACTGAACCAAAGATTGGGTAGTAAAAAGTTGGTCTTTTTTCTATCTCATTTTCTTACATTTTAAGAAAATCTCTATTAACACCATGAAACCTGCTCAAGCTTCAACTTGCTGATTGAGACAATAAAGTTATCATCAGATCCTATTTAATTCTGTAAATTCAGTCTCTTAATCAACTTAGAATCAAAACTCAGCTTCCAAAAGAGCTAAATTCTATCTACTGTTTACTTTTTCCACAATACCCTTATTTTAACCCTGACATTATTTTACTGAGCAGCCATGGAGCTGAATGATCGGATGGGTTTTTAAATCCAGTACTATTCCAGGCCAGCTCAGAAACCAAGATAAAACATCAGCCTCTTAATATTCAGCACTTCAAATAAACAAGTATTATTTATTTATAATATAACACTGTTATAATAGAAATGTTAGCAAAATGGAGACATTGGGAAGGGCATATGAAAATTTGTTAGATGTAGAGGGAAATCTGAGCTGTGATTTAAGATTGCAATAAACATTCTTGGCAAAAGCATTTTAGAAGGTAAGCAGTACAAAGATCTGTTAGAAATAAATATGGAAACATTATTTAATGTGTTAAATTCTTGTGCCCCCTTCAATTAACGGTGGAATTGGTTGCATTTCAGTAAATTGATTTATAATAAAGGAAGGCATTAACCTTGTTCTATATTTTATTTAGTTTGGTAAATAATTCTTTTTAAGGACTTTTTAAACTGTATCCACATATCAGTATATTGTATACTTCGGTAGAAACAGTTCTCCAGCCTGAGTTTGGCCACTCAGGAGCAGAACCGGAGAGTGGTCAAGGCAGGCAGGCAGGCAGGCAGGCAGGCAAGCAGGCAGGCAGGCAGGCAGGCAGGCAGGCAGGAGGGAGGGAGGGAGGGAACAGCATTTATACTCACAATAATTTGGATATCACTTTCTGAAGTAGTTCTTGACTTATGGCCACAACTGGGATTGGAATTTTCATTATGGGTCGGTGCAGTCATAAGTTGAATCACCACATAACTAGACCAGATTTTATGACCATTTTTACAATGCTAATTAAGTGAATCACGTGGTCAGTAAACAAATCCAGCTTTCCAATTGACTTTTTTGTTAGTCACTGGTTGGGAAAGTCACAGGCTGCAATCATGGGACCACAGAATACTGCAATCCAAAATGCAAGCTGGTTGCCAGTTGCATGAATTGCAGTCATGTGACTGCAGGGGTGATGCAATGGCTATAAGTGTAAGGACAACTCATAAATCACTTTTGCTGAGGCCATCGTAATGTTTTGAACCATTGTTAAGTGAATGATTGTAAGTTAAGGACTACTTATAAAAGGGATGGAACCTGACACTTTACAGAGACAAAATCTTATCAGCAAAGGATATGTATTTTACAAATAACAGCATACAAAGTTGTGATGTTATGCTTTGGGAAATGCTTCTAAATAAATAGGATTAGCCATATTAAAATAAAGAGATACATGAAGAATCACAACTGCCTAGAAATTTGAATTGTGTTACAACTAGTTCACTGGTGAAGACATGGGATATAAATGTATATGAAATCTTGAATGTTTTTCCAAATTATTGTCCTGATTTGCTACGATGCTACAATACCTAGTAGCAAAGCAGAAAAAAAGCTTTATATATTTGGTGAGTGTAACTCAGCACTTGTAGGCTTTGTTTGGGAATTTTGTATCTTTCTTTACATTAGTTCACAGATACATGTAATTATTGCTCATGCAAAATTATTATTCTCTCAAGGTCATTGGCTTATCAGAATTGTAATTATGTCCTTATTACTACATTCTAAGGCCACATATGAATAAAATGGTTTACCTCAGGAACATTAACGGTGATGTTATTTTGCTTGAACATCGGCTCGTTATCATTTTCATTTTGAATTTCAATTGAAACAGTGAAACTTTTTATCTAGGGGCAAATAAAGCAGAAGAAGGTTATTAGTGGATTTGCAGCTCAAAAACACTGAAAATCAAGAGCAGACTGTTTAGCCTCCCCCCCACTTTGCTTCTTCAAAGGTTAGCCTCTGCCCCTGCTAGAACCCCTGTTATCTGTTCTCTCCTCTTTCACAGTCAGAACAAATTCTCTTTCGGATCTATTTTGGCCAGATGTGTCTCTGAAAAAGGTATTTTGTGGCTCAAAAGAGCCATAGCCTTGCATTCTAATTTACACTTTTCATTCAAAAGTTTGAAGATGGTGATTTAATCATTATACACATATACTCTATTTGCACCTTTCCTTTGCTGCTCTGAATTCTGAATTCAACATCTATATTCACATCTTTTGACCAAAACTCCAGCAGAGTCTTTAGGGAAAGGAAACTCACAAAGGCAAACACCCATTATTTCTCCAAACTATCATTTTTCTACACTTTTTGCCTATTCTGTCCACTGACAATGAGCAATTCTATTAAAAAGGGATCATGCTTTGGTGGTAGAAGAGATGCTTTGTTTCATTGTCCATTTAGGGCTGAAAAAAACCCTCTGCTTGAAACTGAACTTCTGCTACTCAATGGATGAATGAATGAATCCAACTCTTAGTCCATCTAGATCAGCTATGGTTCGTGAACAATTTCTAATTCTTCAGAAAACTGAAGGAGGGTCTTTTCTTTGTGGGTAGCATTAATGCTGTAGAAAATTCTACCATCCCAATGCCAACAATACAAAGCATAGATGAACTCCACAGAAAAGAAATGTATAAGGCTTCTTGACACAGTAAGATATGTTTTGCTATATATGCAATTCTTGATACAGATCCTTCTTCAGTTTGTCTTCTGTATGTGCTAGATTTCAACTCCCACAATCCTCAGCCAGTACAGCTGTTGGAAATTATGGGTCATCCTGTGCTAAGGACTAGAGGAGCTGAAGTCCAGCCTAACTGGAGGAAAGATGAAGAAGGTTGTTCTACTACAGGACTGCTATCAACCTTGCAAAGAAGTTTCTTACAATATATTATATTTTGGCAGGAACTAATAATATAAAGGGAAATTGAAATATTACTCACTTGCAAACCTTCTTTCCAGCATATCAATTCCACCTGAAGGTATGTTACACTCTGCATTAAAAATAAATATTTTAATTTAAAGCAACCCTTTGTAGCACAACTAGTTTTTATACATATAATTCCTAGCAAATGCTGGCTCCCCTGGACCTTGTGATGGGATCATTATTCTTTACAACTATACAGCCATTTCACCAGGGATCAGACTAAATAAAAGCAGCATAGTCATAGTGAGAAAATGCTTGATACTATCCAGCATCCTGGCACTCTAAAGAGTCTCACATCTGATATTCCAAAAATCTATTGAACCCTTGAAGTCAAATGTAGATCTCTGAGAGCCGGTATGCTGTGTGTTTTGTTCAGCACTGAATACCTTTCTGTCATCTGGGCCCAGGAGCTTTTAAGGGGAAAATGCTGACTTTGATCTTGGGAAAATGTCCCCCACCCTGTTTTGTAAAACATACATAAAAATCCAGCAGTTTCAGATCTCCCTCTCCCCTAGTTTTTGTGAAGATAAGTAAAACCTATCTCCTAGGGAAATTGGCTGTTGTTAAAGTGCAACAGAAGTGGAGCTGTTGCTTAACAATTTTTGGATATCTCAGAGAGGACATGATTCATTCACAGGTGATCTTGAGTTGAGCATTTGAGATTAAAGTGATTAAAGGATGAGAAGCCCATTTCAACTCTTCCATTCAAACTAGCATTTTGTTCCAAAATGAAGATGTTATCAAATGAGATATATAGCAAAATTTACTTGAGGAAGATATGAACAAGACTTTGAATAAAAATTTGTTACCAGATACACTGGATGAAGTTCTAAAAATCAAGAAGGAAAAAAGGAATCCTAGAGAATAATTGGAATAATTTACCTTTAGTGGATTTATTTAAAAAAGAGACTATTTAAAGCGCTAAACAATTTTTTAAAAATTTATTTATAGAAGGATATTAGCATGATTTCATGACTTTTAAATGGGATTTTGTTATAGTTAAGCGGCAAGATGTGGAATGTTGAGTTTTATACATATTAATTAATGTTAAAATCTTAGAGCTCTGTTTGGATTGAAGAAAATGTTACTTATTTGATTTGCCTATTGTTAAGAGATAGTGGGATGAAGAATTTATATCAGTTAGCTAAGGGAAGGGGAAGAGTTGTCTATGTAGTCTGCCATGAACAGAATAGGAAGTCTTTTTTTTTCTGGGAAGGAAGGTAGATATTTTCTTTATATATTTCATTTTTTAAAATATAAATACGATTTTCATATTTGTTTTTGTTCTCTTTTTTAGTCTGTATTATCTTTTACAGCTTTATCCAAAATGTTTGGAAAGAAGATAGGGAAAGCAATTAAAGGTTAAACCTTTTACTGGATACGCAAAATAAGCTTCTTAAAGTTTTGAAAATCCAGGTGGAAATACCAAAAAGTATGAATTCAAAGTTGAAGAAGAAGGCAAAGTGGAATTAGACATGGCAAGCCAAGAGAATGAGCCTGACTTTTTATTGGATATTCAAAAAAGGCTGGTTAAAGCTTTGAAAATCGAAGAGAAAATATACACTATAAACCAAGACAATAATCTGGATATTTTTTCCCCCAGGATTTACAAAGGAGGTTTGCTAAAACTTTGAAGAAGGCTCTGTGATGGGAAAAAGGAAAATTGAAAAGAGGCCAAATCCTACAACAACATCTGAATTTATTAAAAAATCAAGATGAATAGAAATAAGAGAAAAGATTAGAAAGTTGAATGTTAAAATAAAACATATTTTATAAAACTCTGGTAGCCCTTTATGGACTTTTTGCTGATAGCAGGATTGCAAAGTTGATGATGTATGGTTTTGCATATAGAAGGGATGGGCTATGGGAAGAAGAGATATTTGTTTGTAGCCTCATGAGGTGAAGAGTTATCAAATTTGTTTTTACTCGTTATGATGAAGATTGGCAGTCGGCTTTTACATATTTCTTTTCGTTTTCTTTACCTTTCATTCTCTTTTCTTTTTTTGTACTTTTTCCCCTTTCTCCCTATTTCTTTTTCTGAGTTTAATTTGAATCCACTTTTACAACAGTAATGAAACAAAAATATTGTACTGTAATGATATTGCATAGAGGAAAATATCTTCGGTTTCTCTATTACTGTTCTTTAAAGACTGTACTCTTCATAGGAGAGTACAGTCCGTCTAGCAATTGCTCCAGGTTTCTAGGTTTCTGAAGCTCTGTTCTTATTCTGTGCCCCTATTTGAAATCTTCAAGAGTGGAAAGCAGAGCCGATGGATGCAAGGGAAAAAGGTTTCCATTTGACCTTCCCAGCACACTGGGGGCACTGAAAACGGCTGCTCAGAGGTTGAACTCTGAGTACAAAAATAAGCAGACTCATGACTTACAATACCAAGGGTGGATAATGTTTAACTCTGAGAGAGGATGAAGAGCTTTCATGCAGCTTAGTTTCAAATTTTCATACAGTACTTCCAGGGAAATTCAGTGGACTTACACACACCTAACATGCACATGGGACCCTCTTGGTATGCAAAGTGGTTTTCCCTGGACTCAGAAGGCAAAGAGAATGAGAGGTAGTAAGCACCTTTTGTGCTCTCCCACTTGAAAAACAGGCAGTCCTCAAGTTACGACCACAACTGAGCCCAACATTTCTGTTACTAAGCAAGACAGTTGTTAAGTGAATTTGCCCCATTTTGCGACCTCTCTTGCTGCAGTTGGTAAGTGAATCACTGCAGTTGTTAAACTAGTAACATGGTTGTTAAGTGAATCTGGCTTCCCCATTGTCTTTGATTGTCAGAAGGTTGCAAAAGGGGATCACATGATCCCCTGGGACACTGCAACCGTCATGGGGAGGCTGTAACAGTTGTTAAGTGTAAAAAATGGTCATAAGTCACTTTTTTCACTGATGTTGAAACTTCGAACTGTCACTAAATGAACTGTTGTCAATTGAGGACTACCCGTATTGGCTCCTTTCCACTGATAGGTTGTGTTCATAGAGTATTCTAAAACCTATTACTGAATCTTCTGAGCTCACAAAATTGATACATGGACTGGAGTCACAAAAGCTCAGCTGGAATTAACCTTAACCAAATTTAGCATGCTGTGAAAATGGAGCCTCTAGATTTTTAATCACCCTAGCTAAATGTATTAGATTATCCTACGTTGCCCTTGCTTTACAGTATTGGAATCACCTCAGTTGGGAGGGATTCCCTTGCATAGGATCATTGGGGAAGCCTTAGGAAGGCAGAGGCCTCCTCACATTTTAGGCAAGTGAGGCTTGGGACTGCTGTATGTCTTCCAGAAGAGCTTAACTCTTCCTCGGGCCTCTCCACTTGCTTTAAACTTGGTAGATTGCATACCTATACAGCAGTGGTGGGATTCAAATATGTGAACAACTGATTCTCTGTGTGGATGCCGCTTCCGGAAGTCCGTTCTGGGCCTGGCAACAAAAAAATTAGCTACTGGTTCTGCCAAAGTGGTGCGAATCAGCTGAATCCCACCACTGCTGTACAGAGAGGAGGGAACACTAGGAGTTTTCAATTAACTTTAGCAAGATACTTTAGCACTTATTTACAACAATCTTTGGGCTAGGAAGAAATAACTTTGGGACAACAGATAAGCACATAGCATGTGCTGTACTATACTTACTATTACCTATATATTAATTATGTCTTATTATTGAATAGTTTTACTGTGTGTCCTTTGTGTCAATTCACTTGCATTTTATACAGTCTTTACAAACATACACCCCGATCCCATCATGAGATGGGCTGACCAGCCAATCCTAGACCAGCTTTCCCCAAGCTTGGATTCTGTATAGCAGTTGGATTACCATTCCCACCAGGGGATTAAAGATCCCGTGCATCTGGAAAGGGTTAGATTGGAAAGGCTTCCCTGTCACCCATTTCCTGCTGGATTTAAGTCCCCCCCCCCAGTTCTATTACCTCATAATCCACAGACTTTTTCAGGATGAGTTCTGAGTCCTTTATTTCAAACCATTCAGAGGGAGAGTTTGCATCTGTAGAAGGCTTAATTGTGACTACAATGCCAGGACCAGCACGAATGTTAGTAACCACTAACCCTGGATTGTTATTCTCGTTTATTTCCACAAAATCTTTGTCTGTCGAACATTCTGATAAAACAGAAGAAAATAGATTATAACGGCAGAAGCATTAATTTAATAGACAGAGTCATAAGAATTCACACTTTAAATATAGCTACTATTTTTTTTTACAGCTATTAAATCCAGATGTCAACAAAAATAATGTTATATCTGGATTTTAGAGCCTTGTTCTGGAAGCCCTAATTTTGTTCCATTCCAGTATATCACTTGTGATGAGTTTATGCCAAATCTCACTGCAATGGGAAAGTTGGTAAAATAGTTGTCTAATAATCATTTTATCCAGCATGAGATCCAAGCACATGCATATCAAAGCCTATGTGGTGTCAGACAACAATTAGCTTGTCAACTTCCTTTTGAAATCATCTACTTGCTCATAACTTGGACAACCTAAATCTAAGAAGATAACCAATGTGTGGACATTATTTCATCTTGTTCATGTAATTATTTTAAATTAATTGTTTACATAACTAGTTAAGTAAACATGAAACATAGTTTCCTTTGAAATTGAGGTGTTGTTTCAAAACGTTGGTCTAGAATCTTGAAAACTTTTATTAAAGTTTAAACTATTAACCCATCTAGTTAACATGTCTGATAAATTATTTACAATATTACAATATCAGAAATACTATATATAGTATTTCTAAAGTATATATGTATATTATTTCCTTGATAAAGTACTGTCTTTATGCTATCTTTCAAGACAGTAAACTCTTGTGAACACGATCGGCCTTTTTTTAAATAAGTCCAGATGTGTGCATGTGTGAATGTGTGTGTGCCTGTTATATACAGTATCACATCCAGACGTGCACATTAAGAGTCTCAATTACATTTTTGTGTGCTGGAATAACTTAATGTAAGCAATTCCCAGTCACCGTATTTAAACATTTTATCCTATGGAGTAAGCTTTGCCCATCCTTAGCAACTTACCTGGACGCTGTGTCTCAACCCGTGTTACTGCTAGCAAGAGGAAGAGCACACAAGAACAAAAGGGCCTGAGGAAAGCCATCAAGCAGACAAGAGACAAATCCAAGAATTACGGGAAAACAGTCCAACCACTTTTCTTCATGTGTTGTCACAACGCATCTTCCTCTCACTGTTCAAGGAGGAAATAATGTTGCAAATTACAGTGAACTGACACAGTAGTTTAACCTTTGCATCCCAGTTTATTGATTCACTTATTTATGACTTATTTACTGCCATCATTTGCTGAAAGCATTTGTCAGTTTGCCCTGCCTTGCAGGATGGGTTATTGTTGCCATCATTGGCCATCTGCTCAGTAGGCAGTTCTTCGAAGTTCAATGATTACACAATCACAATCAGAATAAAGCTGGAAGGGACCTTGGAGGTCTTCTAGCCCAACCCCATGCTCAAGCAGGAGATCCTATACCATTTCAGACAGGTGACTGCCCAATCTTTTCTTAAAAAACCTCAGTGATGAAGCACCTACAACTTCTGAAGGCAAGCTATTCTACTAGTTAATTGTCCTCACTGTTAGAAAGTTTCTCCTTAAGTCCAGGTTGCTTCTCTCTTTGGTCAGTTTCCAACAATTGTTTCTTGTCTTCTCTTCTGGTGCTTTGGAAAATAAGTTGACCCCCCTCCCTCTTCTTTGTGGCAGCCCCTTAAATACTGGAATACTGCTATCATGTCATCCCTAATTCTTCTTTTCTCTAGACTGACCATACCCAATTCCTATGTTTTTGTCTCCAGGTCCTAAATCATCTTTGTTGCTCTGGTTTGCACTTTTTCCAAAGTCTGAACCCTAAACTTACAAATTCAGGGTTTCTGCCCTCAGCCTCTTCTGCGTATGAGCAAAACTGGGGCTAAGAGATCTGGACTGCAAGCATCCTGACAATGCAAGATGGCAGCCAAAATACAGACATCTTAACTCTTTGCTGGCCTCTTGCAATTGTGTGAATGATTGTATCCATAAGCAAAACAAAAGGGGGGGGTTTATAGTCAAAGATTGAGCCTTAGCATGTGCAGAGTACTTTAGCCTAGAACTACTAGTTCTGAGCTACACAAATCTATATAACCAATAGATGGGCAGCAAAGTGATACACTCTGCTACCATATCATGTGGCAGTTTTGCAGCCTAGACTTGATACCTCAATTTAAAAATAAAAAAGTGTAACTATCTCTGGAAGATATGATATAAAAAAAAACTACTGTTTTTCAGTCTTATCTAAAATTGTTGCTATTGAATTCAAAAAAGGTACATCACTAAGTATCAGCTAGTTGAAGTAATATGACCATACCCCTTTGTGGTTTGAGATACTGCAGATAGAGAAACTGGGGCATTGTCATGCAGTGTATGCACATTTGATTTCAGGAGAGCCAGTGTCAAGAAAGTTTTGAGAAGTACTATGAGACCTGGCTCAAAAACAGCAACTGTGAGAGGGACCTTGGAGTCCTAGTAAATGATCACTTGACTATGAGCTAGCAGTGTGCGGCGGCAGCCAAAGAAGCTAATACAATCCTGGGTTGTATAAACAGAGGCATAGAATCAAGATCACGCGAAGTATTAGTACCGCTTTATAAAACCCTAGTAAAGACCACACCTAGAATACTGCAACCAGTTTTGGTTATCATACTACAAAAAAGATGTTGAGACCTTGGAAAAAATTCAGAGAAAAGCAACTGAAATGATCAAAGGCCTGGAGACTAAAACATAAGAAGAACGGCTGCAGGACTTGGGTTTGGCTTGTCTAAAGAAAAGAAGAAACAGGGGTGGCATGATAGCAGTATTCCAGTATTTGAAGGGCTGGCACAAAGAAGAGGGGGTCAAACTATTCTCCAAAGCACCAGAGGGCAGGACAAGAAACAATGGTTGGAAACTGACCAAAGAGAGAAGCAACCTGGAATTAAGGAGAAACTTCCTAACAGTGAGGACAATTAATCAGTGGAACAGCTTGCCTTCAGAAATCCATCCCTGGTGATTTTTAAGAAGAGACTAGACCAGTGGTTCTCAACCTTTTTAATGCTGCGACCCCCAACCGGTTGTAAGTCGAGGACTACTCAGCCGGTCGTAAGTCGAGGACTACTCAACTGGTGCAGCACCATTTGCAGAATGGGACTATTGGCGGGCTTAGCAGGGCAGAGACAGCTTGGACAATTCCTATTGGCTTTTGAAAGCCAATAGAATTAGACTCTATTCAAGAGAGTCTATTCTATTGGCTTTCAAAAGCCAATAGAATAAAAGGGAGTAGCACAGCTAAGGAAAAGGGGGGGGGGGAAATGGCAGACTGCGTTGTTTGGCAACCCCCGTGAAATGGTTGTTCGACCCCAATGGGGTCCTGACCCACAGATTGAGAACCACTGGACTAGACAGTCACTTGTCTGAGATGCTATAGGTTCTCCTGCTTGAGCAGGGGGCTGGACTAGAAGGCCTCCAAGGTCCCTTCCAGCTTCTATTCTACTCTACTCTACTCTACTCTACTCTACTCTACTCTACTCTACTCTACTCTACTCTACCCTACCCTACTCTACTCTACTCTACTCTATTCCAAAAACCTCAAGTCAAAGAAACCAAGAGAGCTGAAAACTTCTCAAAAAGAAGATACTGTCAATACTACATCCCCAACACTATTATGCACCATTCCAGTAAGACAAAAAATTGGAAAGCATTTTTCTAATAGGGAGTACTTGACCAAACTGAGAGTTAAAGGGGACATATTGTTTATAGAACATAGAAGAAATATAGAGTGTAAAAAGAAATCTTAAGTATATAAGACTTTTAAGACATGGAGCTAATCATCACATCCTGCTTAGCCCAACATGATAAGGGGGATGTCTTTATGACTTGCTTCTTACTTCCTTCTCTTTTCCAGTCTGCTGCAGGAGCAGCCTGATGTCTTTAGTCCTACCACTGTTAAAATGTTTTCCTTCTTCTTCTGACACAGATATAGAAATTTCAACTAAGAGACCAGATTTCTTGTTTATGAGCTTGTTTTTGTTTTGTTTTGCCATGGTAATATTGATCTCCTGGAAGAGCAGAGTTTCCTGAAGGAATGCAGGTCTTCCAGGAGACCAATATACCAAAACATCATCCACAAAATCTTCAGAATTAGGGGTCAGATAAAAAGGTTGGTACATAATGGACAACAAGCAAGTTAGCTTCCATGATAATTTCTATACGTCTCCAAACATTTTATTCTTTTTATAGAGTGTTTTTATATCTGTGTATGCTGCCTTGAGTCGCCATGTGTGTGAGTAGGCGACAATATAAATGTTCAAAAATAAAAGTAAACAAATAAATAAACATCGCCAGTCATTTGGAAATACTTTTTTTTTTGTTTCTTTGACACAGACATAGAATCCTTCTGTTTCTTCTGACACAGATTTATCAGAATCTTTTTCTTTGATAAGACTAGTCCTATGAAAAAGTAAAAGCCATCGGTGCTGCCCTATTTAGAGTCATGCAGCCCAGTTCATACGTGTGGAAGATTTACTAGGAAATAAATACAGAACTGCAGCCTAAAATGGGAGAAAGGAAGAGGATATTTAATTCCAGACTACTGAAAAGAGCTCAGCACAGCATATTCTTCTGACATGTTAATGCTCAGTAAATGGAGGGGGAAAGATCACTCTTCTTACAAGGAAGACAGGGAAAAGGTTGGTGGCATTACTAGCATAAGAAGCAGGACTACAGCTGTGTCTACCACTGTGATGGCCGTCCTACAGGGTGGGATGAAAGAAAGAAGAATCACGCAGACTTCAATAAGGAGGTTTAATGCAAGAATTAGGAGCGAGGGACAGAATCTCAGAAACACTTTTATTAGTGATTTCATTTAGGCAAACATTCTTTGAATGTTTTGAAGTTCTTCCTGAATTTTTTGCACCCCAGCCTGAGCTGCTATTTATGAGATAAGCTACTAAAGGCCTCTTCTCCCAGCTGTTGGTTGTTGATATCTGATTTCTTTCTTAGGCTCTTCACAATCTCCTACACATACCTGGTTTCAGACAAAATTCTGCAACTCCCACTCCCCCTTTCTTCCATTTTTTTTCATACTCACTAACATGTGCACTGAAGTCTATGCTTTCTTCTTTCTTTTCACCCCATTGATCGGCAACTTGGGAACTTCAAAGAAGCCGGGGGACAGAAACCTTCTTGCTCATTTTCCCAGCAAAAGGCAAATTTTCTAGACACAAGCCTTTTGAACAGTGGAGATTTCTGTAGGATTGATAGTCTATGGAAAACTTTATTTTCTAACTGATCTGTTAGCACAGAGGTCCCCAACCTGTGGGCTGCGGCCCAGTAGTGGGCCATGGCCTGCTGGCCACTGGGCCGTGGGAGAGGCTGGCCAGTGCGCGCCTGTGTGCTTGTATACACCTTCACTTGTGCTAGTAAGTGTGAAAACAGGATGCCACCGCACCGCAGGGCATAAAAATAGGACACCGCTGCACTGCGGGGCATGAAAATGGGCCACTGCCATGTCTTGGGGCACAAAAACAGGATGCCACTGTGCTTCAGGATGTGAAAACAGGACACCGCTGCACCACAGGGCACGAAAACAGGGTACTGCACCGCACAAGAACAGAGCCGGGCTAGTGAGTATCCCATGGATGCTAGCTCTGCCCTGTTTGCATTGCGTGCATGTTTGTGGCCCTGTGCATGCACACGCGCATGTGTAAAATGCTTCCCCCTCCCTTTTCCTCCGGTCCGCCAACCGAGAAAGGTTGGTGACCTCTATGTTAGCAGGATGCTTGAGGGGAGTGGAAGTGAGCATCACAATCAACATTTCTGATTGAGAGATCAACTTTGGTGGAGGGGCAGAGAGATGTAGTTATTCTTTCTTTTCCTATTGGACCCTCAGTCTCCAAGGAACATACTCTCAGAACAGTGACTGGCACTAGAGATTCCCAATCTCACTCCATCACATATTCTGAATGAAATGATTCCGATCTTCTGCAAAGACAGAACCTTCCTCCTTTAATTAAAGCAGTGAATACCCCCCCTTCCCCCAGATTCCACGCGAGCCTGGAAAAGTTGCTGCTCTTTAATGAATCAAACCATTAAAGCAATACATCTTTATTGCACTTCTTAAAACAGCCGGTTGTTTTTTCAGTCAGGTGTAGTGCTCATGTGAGATCCAAAACAATTAATCTGA